CCATCTACGCAGTGGCACGCACACGGGAGTGAGAAAAGGGCACAGGGAGAGAAAAGCAAAGAAAAGTCTGCGACTTAATTTCCTCCAGCACAAGATCAAAAAAAAAAAAAACACAAACACCTCGCACCCTCGCCATGTTGTTGCCATTGCCGCGACGGATGCATTCCGTGGCCCACGGCGAGTCCAGCGTGACTCCCCACTCCCACGATCATTCATGGCTGACGAAAAGAAGGTGCCGAGTGCGCCTTTCGCTCGCCTCCCGCGTGGGGCGGGGAGGATCGCGTCGGGCGAGCCTCCACAACTCACCCTGCGCGCGACCTCCGCACCAACAAGCTGAACAAAAAGGACACGGCTGGGCAGTTTTGCCGCCCACTCGTAGGGCCCGGCCATTCCCCCGCAGCTAAAATGAATAATAGTAAAACACAGGAGAGTCCCGTCTGCGTGGAACGCCGCAGCGAGCGCGCTCGTCCCCGCCCTCAGCACAGCAGTCACGGACACCCCCGCACCCATTGGGTCACAGCGACTTCCCAACGCCCTGCCCGCACCAAAAGACGCACGTGGGTGCATGCGATGCTGGGACTCGTCTCCTCCCTCCAGACGACCTCGCCACAACGCAGGCTCGCATAAGTTCAATCCTCCAGCACACAACTGTCCGTTAAGCCACACACCGCAGACACAAGAAAACAAACACACTCATTGCCCGTTTTTCAAGAGCGAAGAGAGGAATAGTGCAGCAATTGCACAATGCTATTATTACTGCTGTGCTGCGTCTCGCGAGTGCGGGGTCGATAATCCAAATGCACATCATGACGCTACCGCATGCTTTTCACGCATATCCTTTTTTGGGGGCTTTCGTCGCTTTTAAAATAAATCCGATGCCCCGCACGCCGGCCACCATCGCCGTGCCGCTCGCCCCACAATCCACGCTGCCCGATTAATTTACTGGCGGCAGAGCCCCGGAATCAGAGTCGCCGCTGCCGCTTCCTCGGAGTCTCGCCCTCGTCTTCTTCCGCAACCTCCGCGGATGGCGGGTCGTCCGCTAGAGGCGGGTCAACGACCGGTATTGGGTGGCCGCTGATGTTCGGGAAGGCGGCGCACACATCGGCGTATTGGGGGCACACAATGCTCCCACGCCAGGGACCCGATGGCGGCGTGACGGTTTCACCCGCCTGGCACTCGTGCCACGCATCGTCACGAAGAAATCGCACGCTCACTGTGCCGTCGCCGCATCGAGTGTCCACACAAACGTCGCCAATATATTCGTCGTCGAATTGAAGATCCTTCCCCTTCACGCACCGCGAGTTCGGGCCAACGATACTGCCAGGCATTACTGAGGGGTCGCCGTTGGTGCACCCAGTATTAGAATACCCCTCAACAATCGGACATCTGCTCATGAAGAGGTCATCGCCGCCAACTCGGGGATCAGCAAAGTACCGATACTCCTCTGGCAGGGCTTCATCGTGCCTCATCAGGTCACAGCGCCCCAGAGACAGACGGTCGTACGTGCAGAAATCATAACCGGCACTCCAAAAGCAGTTGCAGAACAGGTCGGGGTATTCGGTGATGCCTTCAGTCAGGCACTTCTTTTCCAGCAGCCCACAGCCAGAGTTGTTGCCCCACCACAACATCTCCGCCGCGCTGTAGTTCGCCAAATAAACACCCATGTCCTCAAACGCTGCAAGCGTCAGTGCCGAGTACAGCCCTACCCCC